GACATTTTCACAATATTTAGTATTCCAGTCCATGAGCCTGGAATGCCTGTCTGTTTATGTAGGTCTTTTTTAATCTCTTATAGTAGTGTTTTATAGTTTTCATTCTATAAGTCTTTTATGTCCCTGTTTAGATTTATTTTCACGCATTTTATGATTTGAGGAGCTATTGTAAATGCTTTAGTTTTCTTGATTTACTTTCCAAATTTCTCCTTGTTAGTGTAAAGGAACCCAACTGATTTTTGTGTGTTCTTATACCCTGCTAAACTGCTGAATTCTTCTATTAGATACAATAACTTTTTTGTGGAATCTTGGAGATTTTCAATGTATAAGATCCTGTCATCTGCAAATAGAGATGGTTGTATTTCTTCTTTTCCAATGTGAATATCTTTTATTTCTCTTTCTTCCTTTATTGCTGTGACTTAGACTTCCAATACAATATTGAGTAAGAGTGGTGACAGGAGACATCCTTGTCTTGTTCCTGTTCTCAGGAGGAAGTCTCTCAGTCTTTATCCATTGAAAATAATGTTGGCTGTTGGTTTTGCATATGGGCCCTTCATTATGTTGAGGAATTTCTCTTTTATTCCTGTTTTATGAGATTTAATCAGGAAAAGCTGTTGGATTTTATCAAATACCTTTTTTGCATCAATTGAGATGCAAATGTGGTTCTTTTCCTTTGTTTTATTTATGTGGTGAATTCCAATGATTTTATAATGTTATTTACATTTTAGAAAGAATATGAGGTGTGTATTTTATGCACTTTATTATTTAAAGATTCCAACAGAACTATTTAAACATATGGTGTGTCTGGTTGAAAATTTTAGTTCTTTACTTGCTCTTCATAATTAGCTGTGTAGTTACTTTTTTCCTTAGCCTCACGTTTTTGAAAGTCCTAAAAAAAGCCACCCTAAAACCAGCCTTAAAAGTGGAGGTTTTTTAAAGCACTGGAAACATTGAATAATTGTTCTGAAGATTTTCATCACTAAATCTTGGTTATCCAAATTATATCAAAACGATGCATGTCCTTGGAATCTGCTATTTATTTGCTCCATCACCTGGTGAGTTTTGGATGGAGACTCATGAAACATTTCACAATACGAGAGTTTAAATAAAACTCACAAAGAAATTGGGTAAATGTTTTGTGATTTTTGTTTTCTTAGCAAAATTTGACATATATACTCTCTCTTTGTGGTAGATTGCTTTTAACGTAGAGATTGGCAAGCTTTGCAGTTTGTAATAATGCTTTATTTCATATTGCTTAAAGCATCACTATTTTACTGACTATAAATAAGACACGGAGCCCTGGGGGTGCCATAGTTAAGCACTCATATGCTAAGAAAGTTGGTGGGTTGAAAGTACCCATTGGCTATGCAAGAGAAAGACATCGTGATCTGTTCCCATAAAGATTATAGCCCAGAAAACCCTATGGGGCAATTCTACTCTGTCACATGGGTTGTTGTGAGTGGGAATTAACTCTGTGGCACCTAACAACAAGTAAGATAGCTCTGTTGTTGTTGTTGTTGTTGTTATGTGCCATTGAGTCAGAGCCAACTCATAGTGACCCCTCCTTGGGTTTCAGAGGCAGTATCACTACAGGAATAGATTGCCCCATTTTCCTTCTGAGGAGTGGCTGGTGGGTTTGAACCACCAGCCTTCTGGTTAGCAGTCAAGTGCCTTAGGCAAGGAGGCATTCTGCCACTGAGCATCACCTTTTGTTTGCCAATAAATATCAAGCTACCTGCTACTAGAGAGTTTTCTGTAAGAACTAAGAATGAGAGACTATGATGCTTGAATTGTTTATTAAATCTTAACTGCCAATTGGCTAATGAAATAAAATTGTTTATAAGTAGAGGTTATAATTGATTCCTGAAGTAATAAACCAAATTTTATATTATTTTACACCTTCACAATCTGTGCAGGAGCATTTGATAGTTATTTGACAGTTTCTATAATTTGCTGCCAGTGTCACTGAGAGAACCTTTGCATGTTACCACCACCAAATCTATGGCTATCTACATCTATACTCATATACTCTGCCTCCCTTTTGGTTATAGTAGATGAAGTACTTATGCACCTATCCAAAACCAATGATTCCTCTTATCCACGGAACTCATCTTCTTTGGTCTGTTTGAGGACATAGTTCCTGATGTTGCCCACATTTTTTATCTATCTCCATCCTACCTACCCCCACATACACACACACATGTTGTTGTTATGTGCTGTTGAGTCATCTCCAACTCATAACAACCTCATGTACAACAGAACATAACACTGCCCGGTACTATGCCAACCTCACTATCCCTACTATACCTGAGCCCATCACTGCAGCTACTGTGTCAATTCATCTTGTTGAGGGGCTTCCCCTTTTTCATTGACCATGCCCTTTACCAAGCATGACATCCTTCTCCAGAGAATGGTCCCGTCTGACACCATGACCAAAGCAGGTGAGATGAAGTCTGGCCCCTCTTGCTTCCAAGTAGTGCTCCAACTGCACTTCTTCCAGGACAGATTGTTAGTTCTTTTAGCAGTCCACGGTACTTTCAGCATTCTTCACCAACACCACAACTCAAAAGGATCAGTTCTTCTTACATCTTCCCTATTCATTGTCCAGCTCTCCCATGCATATGAGGTGATTGAAAATACCATGGCTTGTGTCAGGCATACCTTAGTCTTCATGGAGACATCTTTGTTCTTCACCACTTGAAAGAGTACACACTTGAAAGAGCACAAACACATACACAGTAGAATATTGTCTGTCACCATGCAAACATGTGCATTATCTCCCAATCTTGTAGAAACCTCCCTTGACTTTTTATCCCCTCCCAGCCATCATCCCATTTCTCTGTTCCTCACTAACAGCAAAACTTCTGGAAAGAATATTTCATGTTTCTTGACTTCATTATCTCCTCCTTTCTCTTGAACCTTCTTTAGCTTATTGTTTCACTGAAACAGCTCTTATCAAGGTCATCAGTGATTTTCATGGTGCAAAATCCAGTGGTCAATTTTCAGTTTGTTGTTGTTGTTATTTTCAGTATATCAACAGGATTTCACATAGCTGCTCATTCCCTCTTTCTTAATGCACTTTCATCACTGAGTCTACAGAGCTCTGCTAGACACAGATGTCCCCTCACTGGCACCACCAACTTACTCTTTTTAGAAGTTTTTCCTCCTTTTGAATATCAGAGTGCACCAGGGCTCAGTTCTTGGGCCTCTATAATCACTTGGTTTCTAAATCCTAACCAAACTCACTGCCTTATAGGTGATTCCAACTCATAACAATCTTGTAGGACAGAGTAGAACTGCCTCATAGGGTTTCCAAGGCTTTAATCTTTATGGAAGCAGGCTGCCACATTTTTCTGACAGAGTGGCTGGTGGGTTCAAACCACCAATCTTTTGGTAGCAGCCAAGCGCTTAACCGCTGCACCACTAGGGCTTCTTCACTTACTTTCTAGATGACTTTAAATAATATTTCCAAATTTATATCACCAAACTTATATATCCTCTGATTCAGTCCCTACTCTACTTCCTCCACTTGAATGTTTATTTGTTCTCTTCTTCTCAATACTATTTGTTCCTCCTTTATTTTTTACCATCACTGTAATTGGCAACTCTGTTTTGGGGAGACTCTACATTTTATTCATCAGTAAATTTTGCTCCCTTTACCTTTAATGTATATTTTATCTATATAAACTTCTCTGCCTTGAACATTTGTGCTTGCTTTTCTCGCTACCTGTAACAGTTCTACCTCCAGATATTAGTAGTGTGGTTTATTCCCTTAACTTCCTTTTGGTCTTTGTTCAAATGTTATCTTTTGAGAGAATGAGAGAAGTCTTCCCTAATGTGGGTCATATATAAAATAACAACACCCCCTGTACCGTTTCCTTACCCTGCATTATTGTACTCAATAGCAATTATCTTTACATGATACACACACCATGTACACATGCATATATATATATATATATAAATATATGTATGTATTTGCTGATGTCTGTTTTCCCTTAGAACATAAGCTCCTTAGGAGTTGCTTTAGTATTTTATTTAGTACTTTTTTATCCCCAGAGCCTAAAACAATGCCATCTACATAGTAGGCACTCAGTGAACATCTGTTTGCAGAATTTCATGTTATTTATTTGCTTTTCCTCTATGATTATTGCTGCAAATAAAGTTTATGTAAATATTAACATTATGCAAATAGTTTTATCTTAAAAAAAAATAACTGTAAACAGACAATTGTTAATATGAAAAGAAGGAGCCCTGGTGGCACAATGGTTAGTCACTCGGCTGCCAACTGAAAGGTCGGAGGTTCAAACCCACCAGTGGCTCCACAGGACAAAAGACCTGGCGATCTGCTCTTGTAAGGACTGCAGACTAGGAAACTCTACAGGGCCAGTTCTGCTCTGTCCTATCGGGTCTCTATGAGTTGGAATCAATTCAATAGAACACATCAGCAACAATATGAAAAGAAATATATTATTAGCTGAAGAATATGTAAAGATACTTTAAAGACTAAATTCTAAGGACTGTTTTCAGATGCATGGCTTTTTCATCATTTTGATAGAATTTTCATTATTGGTTGAAATTAGTGAAATACTGAAATATTTTTGTATGGATTGGATGAAATAACTGATAATCTTTCAATTTTTTATTTCTTTTCTGGTATTGTTTTATTGTAAAAAGAGACTAAATTTGTGAGGAAAGTAATGTTTATTTTAAAATCTTTTGCCTATGTAGGACTTTCTTTTTATTCTGTTTCATTGCATATATGCTTAGAGAAATATATATGTCTAATCTATCATAGTTAAAGAGAAGGATTTGTGTGTGTGAGCATGTAAGTGCATTTCATTTCTCATAATAATTCCTTTTTTATGACTAGTTTTTTAGTATTCCTCTATGAGATGTGCTTTATTTACATCCTTTCTCTCTTTGATGCATATTCAAATTCTTACTATTTTCCGTTTTATTACTATCTTTTCACCCTTTTTTTTCCCTATCTGTGTCAGAATTTTTAAGGGGGCCTGAGATAGCTTTGCTCCGTAAGCGCCTGCAACAACTGAGGCTTAAGAAGGCTGAACAGCAGAGGCAGCAAGAACTAGCTGCACGTACCCAGCAACAGCCTTCCACATCTGATCAGTCTTCTCATGAGGGCTCTTCACAGGACCCTCATGTTTCAGGTTATTAATGTCAAGTGTCCTTAAGCAGCTGGTAGAATTGTTTTTTTTAACATTGCTACTATTTAATAAGATGCTTTCCTTTTTCCCCTCAAAAAGAGAGCTAATACACTTGCAGCTTACCCTCCCTTCCTTGCATATGGTGGTATTCATCACATAGTTAGAAGGACAGGTTTGCAGCTGCATCTGCCAGAAAGATGAATGTGAAATAATCCGTTACTTTACTCGTAGTATATTTGGAAAGGGGGAACTATTTATTACTTTTATAGTTGAACTACTTTCTAATAATTATCTAGTGACTTTAGAGCCTGCATTAATATGTCGATTGAAATTTCCTGTGTGCTGAAATGATATCTGTGCTTATGGCTCCTAGCGCCTCTTCCTCTTTTTATTTATTTATTTTTTTTTGCTTTGAAAATTAACCAGTATTCTTATATAAAGCTGGTAATGCTAGATTTTAGATTTATAGTAGTATTTGGCCCTAAACTAGCATGTTGACTCAATCTTTCCCTTCTGTAATTATTTGTAATTTTTCAGTATTTGCTTAATAATCCCGTCTATACATGATCAACTTTCTGAAACTTAGGGCAGTAAAAGTACCCTGTAGTCTCTTGTTGTTCTTCATATTCTGTAAAATTCTAATAGGACAGTAATAATTGGTGCCATTCTTTTTTTTTATTGACTTTATTAATGGCCTGATTCTTTTATGATCAGACAACTTATGGTGCTCAATAAACATTGGTTGAAGGAATTGAGAAATATAGCACAAAATAATTTGTCAACTTAATTTTTTCAAGAAGATGGATAATAGGTACTGTAAATCTATTCTCCCTTTTGGAACTAGTATGTGCTAGTTTCTCATACTAATGAATTTATAATATTTTGTTTGACATACTTTGTTTTGCCAACACTCAGGATGAAGAATTTGGACATTAATTACTTTGAGAACTCTGATTAAAGTAGTTGGAATTAATTTATGTATTGGTAGAACTGGAAAACCTCTAATATATAATTATCTGTTACAATAACTGCTATAGTAACAAAGCACATTATATAATACTGTGGTGAAATGAAATAGATTTAAACTCTTATGATATATATATATGATGTTTGGGGCAAATCATCAACTTGGTTTCTAATGCAATATTATGTTAATACAAGGAATATTCAATCAGGTAAAGTTATCTCTTGGTGTTTTTTTTTTTTTTTTTTTTTTTAATTATTTCTTTTTTGTTTTTAAAACAGAGAAATCTTTTCCTGTTTTTAAAACTAACAATTAACAAGGAACTTGATTACATTCTAATAATGATGTTTAGTAGTAATTTTGCTATGAGTTATGCTTTATATAAAACTCTGGCCAAAGTGCTTTAAAAGTTAAAAAAAAGAATCTGTGGAACAACAAAAGCTAATGAAAAGCAAGATTATATGTATGCATTTAAACTAAAATTCAGCAAATGTCAAACCAAATATTAAAGGAAATTTTGAGAATAAAACTTTCGACTTTAATGGAAAAGAAGTAAGCACTGTGGACATTAAAAAATATATTTTGAAACTTCTAGCCTTTCTTTGGGAGCTCTGGTGGCATAGTGCCTAAGGCATTTGACTGCTAACTTGAAGGCTGGTAGTTCAAACCCACCAGCCACTCCTCGGAAGAAAGGTTGGGCAATCAACTTCCGTAGTGATACTGCCTTGGAATCCCAAGGAGGGGTTGCTATGAGTCAGATCTGACTCAACGGCAGTGAGTTTTGAGTTAGCCTTTCATTAAGGAGCTCTGGTAGCACAGTGCTTAACTACTCAGCTGCTAACCTAAAGGTCAGCGGTTCAAACCTACTAGCTGCTCCATGGAAGAAAAGCCTTGATGATCTGCTCCCATAAATATTACAGTCTTGGAGACCCTATGAGGCAGTTCTGCTCTGTCCTACAAGGTCTGTATGAGTTGAAATCAAGTAGACAGCACACAACAACAACAGCGTTTCGTATCTAGTTTACCAATTTTAATTGAAGCAGTTTTTTAAGAATCAGAAAGCTTTTAAGGTGATTATATGGTCTCTGAAATAAGATGTTTTCTTTCCAACTCTGATTATCAGTCATTCTCATTAATAAGTATCTAGTTTGGTAAATAGTATATTTGTGGTAATCTTTAAAAAGCTAAAGTTGAATAAACAACTTGCCAAATTTGAAGTTGAAAAAACATGTTCTTTTCATTATTAAATGTATACAGTCCCTGATGCTGCCTGCATAGACCAATATTAGAGGTCCTTAGTGCTGTCACTCAATTAAATTAGTGCTGTCACTCAATTTCTGTTTTCTCTTCCACCTATAAGGTGAAGTACTTCATCTTTATCATATGCTTTTAACAGAGCATTCATATGAAGCCCTAACAAATTTAATCATGCTCTGAGTTTATTTGAGTAGTATTACTTTTATCTTACTCTGTCATCACGTGTCTCAGAAACACATATTTGGCAATAAAAGCTCTGAGAACAGTTGAATAATGTGTTGTCAGTTTGTTACAAAGGACAGCTAATAAAAACTATATATTTTATCCATTTAAAAATTTGGGATATAAGGAAAAATGAGTTGGCTTAATGAAAAAGTCTTCATTTCACAATATACAAATTACAAAAATACAGACTAGTAATTAAATTTATGAAATTCAACAGGAGGATAGATTTTATTTGAATTCCAATTATTAAAATTTTATTTCATATATTAATTGATCCAGTCATTCAGGTTAGATCTTAGTACCAAAATAACCTATTAGTTTAGGAAGAACCAAAATTAACACTCTAGATTTTAATTTATTAACAGTAGAAGAATGTACAATTCTCATATAGAAAAAGCATTTTTTCCCATTGTATCTAGAAACCTTTACAATATCAATATGAGATGATAATGCCAATGAATATTTTTATTGTTTTCTCACCTGTTTAAGTATTTAGATATAAGATGTTCAAAGGACACATTCATGTGATTTGAAAATCAATAAATTTTAGCAAAGGTAGTAGAAAGAATTTCTGATGTCTTACATTGTCTGGCAAACATTGTTTTTTCAAAATATAGGATTCATGAAAATCATTTATGAAAAACAATGTATAAGCTGAGTCTACAGTACCTAATTTCTATAGGAAAGTAACTTCCAGCCATTTTATAGAAAAAATAATCTACATTTTCTGTGGGATAAAATGGGAAGGGACCTGTTGCTAGTTAGTGAATAATTTCAGATGGAATAGTATCTTATAATTCCTGGAAATTGAAGATTAATACAAATATTTTAGATACCAAATAGTATCACCTTCAGTTTCAAATTTTTAAAAATGAAATGTACAAGATGGATGTTAAAAGATGGTAAGATAGTAGTTTTCTTTCCCCCAGTTGTGAACTCATTCATCAGAGTTTTAGATGGAATTCTGAACATAAAATATTTAATAGTAACACTGTTCTCAATTTAAACATGAAGGGAAATAAGAAATAAAGACCCATCCCCATGGTACCTCTGCTCCCCCAAACACAGTTTAAAAACCGCGCTGTGAAAAAAAAAAAAAAGTTTCCACCTATAAATGATAACCCTTCAGAGCCAATTTTCCAAAATTTCATTTTTCAAAATCAGAATGTTACTTTAAAATATTTTTCACTTTATTTAGTTTCTTAAATAGTGTACTTTTTTTGTGGACATTTAGGAAATCTAAAATTTATGCAACTAATTTCTAGTCTTTCAGTGATTTTTTTTAAATCTTGAAGAAATGAATTTGCCTTTATCATATTTCTGTGAGGATGCAAGACTGGCTGGATTCTTGTCCGTGCCTCTATTCCATAAGACCTTGGGCAGATCATTTGGCTACTTTATGCCTCAGTTTCTCGATTATTTATTTATATAGTGTGGCCTGCAGAGATGACATAAGCATGAGTATTATATATGTTAAAAGAGAGTAGTACACATAATAGCATATTATAGTATCTTTCATTTACTGCCTCAAAATATCCTCATGTTAAGGCCATATAAAATTGATAGCACTCAGGGTTTTTAATGAGCTGTATATATATTTATCAGATGAATGCCCCCAACAGCTGTGCCAGAGGCATTCAGCATATGGCTGATTTTAAGCCCAACTCTTTTTTTCCATTTCAGGTCCCCTGAAGTCATGGGTTGCTAGCTTCTGCTTAGAGTGACAGCACCCTATGGAGTCTGCTGGTACTGGCCTGACCACCACAGAGCCCCACTGGAGCATGGAGGCAGTCTAGAGAGGGTCAGGTAGGAACTGTTTTTTCACTTTATGGCACGGTTTTGCCAATTGGAAAACAAAACAAATCAAAAAAAGTAATCTTTGTACCCCAAAGGGTATAAAACATTAGTGATTATTTTGAAAAAGGGCTTTTCAAAACTGAGCCATATTGGAGAAAATCAGCACTTACCCGATCCTGTGCCAGCAGGTCCTATACAACATTAGATTCCCCACAGTGTCCATGAAGACACAGTCACACGTATACGTATCTCAAATGGATATGTGCGACCCATATTTCAGTGTTTATAGTATAAAAAAACTAAAAAGCCAAACCCACTGCCATTGAGTCGGTTCTGATTCATAGAGACTCGATAGTCAGAATAGGATTTCCAAAATCATAGGATTTCCAAAGCTAAAAATCTTTACAAAAGCAGACTGTCTCATCTCCCACAGATGGGCTGGTGGGTTTTAACCACCTATCTTTTGGTTAGCAGCCAACTACTTGAACCAACATGCTACCATAGCTCCTGTTACAGCATTAAGCAGTTAATAAATCAGAATGATGAGCTAGCTCTGCAGGCACTCCTTAACTACCCTGAGTGATTATTAGAGTCCTGGGCAAAATAATGATGAATTCTAATGAATCTCTCAGAATAAACATGGTAATAATGCTCTATATTTTGCAGAACAACTTCCTATCATTATTTTTTCATTCAACACCATGTAAAAAACAGGCAAGTAATAATAATAAACATTAGTTGATCCTTTCCTATATGTTAC